GCCACACTCCTGAGTAGTTCTATTTCAAACAATCACAGGGAGCTGGGTAGGACCCTCAGGAACGTGGACCTTCAAGGGCTGCAGGAGCAAAGGGAGAATCAAGTCTCTCTCATAGTCTCCAAGAGACTTTCAAGGGCAGATAGAAAGGATCAAAGGCTGCCAAGAGTTCTGAGAGCTGTTCCCAGTGGAATAATGAGGTATATGCAGATATCAGAGTTTAAGGAGAAGGGAGCGTGTGTGTGCATGAGCAGTACCGTGAAGAATGAGCAAGATCGGGAGGGAGATGGAAACGGGAAGGGCCCACTATTCCCATCTGCAGAGCCTATGCAAGAGTACACATACAGGTCCACGTGCCATGTATCCAAGTATTTAAAATCTGAAATATGTTTTATCCTCCTGCCATGGTGAATATGCCTTCATCAGGACCTGAGAAAGCAGGTTTGAATTTTGGAATCTTTGACTCCTCAGTGCTCTGTTCTGGAGCATGGTGGCTCGGGTATAGCAAGCATTGGGCCAACCCCTGCCCCTCTCTCTTCCCACTTTGGCTCTGTCCCACAAGCAGCTGCCTCTTGGTCTTAGCAGCGCAGTTCACTTTCCGGAGGCTGGACCAGGGGAAAGACCTGAGCAGCCCTAAAAGTGGATTTGAGAGGACAGGGCAGGGGATTCTGTCTGGGGCTCCAGGAACATGATCTAACAGGAGGGCTGGGGTCTTTGGGTGCCCTTGCCCTTTGTCTCCTCACCAGTGGGGATGTACGTAGCCCGAGGAAGGCCAGAGCAGGGCCTCTTTCTCAGGATGAAGGGGCAGTCGTGATCTCAGGCAAGGGATGCAAGAACAAGACCATGGAGGCAGGAACATGGCAAGACAAAAAAAGAGGGGGCAGCTCTGGGGAGACAGAAGGCTGGAAGCACAGGTAGAGACCAGAAAATGTGCAAGGAAGGGCTGGGCGCAGTGGCTCATGCCTGTAATCCAAGCACTTTGGGAGGCCGAGGCGGGCAGATCACTTGAGGTCAGGAGATTGAGACCAGCCTGGCCAACATGGCGAAACTCCATCTCTACCAAAAACAGAAAAAAATTAGCTGGGTGTGGTGCCACATGCCTGTGATCCCAGCTACTAGGGAAGCTGAGGCTGGAAAATCGTTTGAACTGGCTGGCAGAGGTTGCAGTGAGCCAAGATCACGCCAACTGCACTCCAGCCGGAGAGACAGAGCGAGACTCTGAAAAAAAAAAAAAAAAAAAAAAAAAAGTGCAAGGAAAAATACACAATTTGCTTAACCTATGTGGTTAAGCTCTTCAATCCTTAGTCCTCTTGGCTTGGAGAGCTGCCCAGATGTGCAAGGATGCAGAGGTTCTCATTTTCTCATGTTTGTGCTGAAGCTTCCCAATTGTGCCTGCAGCCTGCTACCTCAGCATTACTCATCAAAGTATTGTTTTAGTTTCTAGTGAAGTGAAAAAGGGGAACTACAGTTTTCCTTCCCATACCAGTTGAGAAATTATTTAAAGACAGAGATCCTTAAATGCTTGTTTTAAGGAAGCACGCTTGTAAAGGAGGTTGACAAATGACACACTTCACCCTCCTTTGGGGATTAGCTCAGGAAGGCTTCCTGCAGGTGGCGTTTGACAGTGGCTAAGCCAGCCATGCAGGCTCAGACCTGGGAGCAGAAACTCAGTGTCAAACCCCTTCCTAACATGTCTACCATGCTCCTTCCAGCAGTTTGAATTCTGAAGTCTCAGACAAATGACCACACTCTGGGTGGTTTAAAACAACAGAGCCAAGTGCAGTGGCTCAGGCCTGTAATCCCAGCACTTTCAGAAGCCGGGGCAGGCAGATCACCTGAGGTCAGGAGTTTGAGACCAGCCTGGCCAACATGGTGAAAACCCGTCTCTACTAAAAATACAAAAATTATTCAGGTGTGGTGGCGTGCGCCTGCAATTCCAGCTACCCAGGAGGCTGAGGCAGGAGAATCACTTGAACCCAGGTGGCGAAGGTTGCAGTGAGCCGAGATCGTACCACTGCACTTCAGACTGGGTGACAGAGCAAGACTCCACCTCAAAAAAAAAAAAAAAAAAAACCAGGAATTTATTCTCTCATAATTCTCAGTGCCAGAAGTTTGAAATCAAGGGGTCAGCCACGTTGGGTTTTTTTTTTTGAAGGCTCTGAGGAAGAATCTGCCCCCTGCCTATCTCCGGCTTCTGGTGGCCACCAGCAATCCTTGGTGCTCCTTGGCTTGTAGATGCATCACCCCAACCTCTGCTTTTGTTCTTCCCTCCATCTTCTCTCTTCTCTCAATTTCCCTTTTCTTATAAGGACACCAGTCACTGGATCCAAACTCATCCTAATGCACTATGTCCTCATCCTAACTTAACCACATCTGCAAAGACCCTCGTCCCAACAGGACACAGCACAGACATCTGGAGTTAGGCCTTTAACGTATTCTTTCACGGGACACAATTCAACCCACAGCAGTAGCTATTGTTCTAATCCTTGTATTACAGAGTATAAACTGAGACCCAGGGAGTAACTGACCCTGAGATACAGAAAAGAAGGGGTATGACTCAGTTTGTAATCTGTCTAGACCTCATTATTACCATTTGCCCTTGCTTGTACCAGGCCTTTTAGTGGGTGCTTCATTTTCATTTCTAATCCTCATCTCAACTGCAGAGAGTCATATCCCTCATTTTACAAACAGAGGCTTAGATAATTTAAATGGCTTCTCCGGTGTCTGAGTCTATTTGTGTTGCTGTAAAGGAATACCTGAGGCTGGGTGCTTTATAAAGAAAAGAGGTTAATTTGGCTCATGGTTCTGCAGGCTGTACAAGAATGGCACCCATATCTGCTTCTGGAGAGGACTTGTGGCTGAGGGGAAGAGGAGCCTGTGTGTGCTGTAAGGAAAGAGAGGAGGCAAAGAGAGGGCAGGGAGGTGCCAGGCTCTTCATAACAACCAACTCTCATGGGAACTCAGAGTGAGAACTCACTCATTACCACAAAGACACCACCAAGCTATTCATGAGGGATCCGCCCGCACACGACCCAAACACCTCTTATTAGACCCACCTTCAACACTGGGGACCAAATTTCAGCATGAGGTTTGCAGGAGTCAAACAAACCAAACTAGAGCACCCAGAGTCACCATAGGTAGGTAGAAAGTGGCATATTTGGGATCTAATCTGAAGTTGTGGCCAAGAATTCTCACCCAGGTCAACACATCAGACGTCTTTGGGATGGCTCGCCCCTCCGCATCCTATAGCCTCTGCCTCGAGATGGTGTAACTTCCTCTCTGCAGCTGAGAATCATGACTGTAAATGACACACTACTGGAATTGCCCATGTGAAGAGTGTAGAGGCAGAAAATGAATCACGGACCTTCACAGCACTGCAGCGGATGCCTCACAGCGGGTAATGGTCTGACCAGGCATTTGTCTTCTTTCCGGCAGCCAAGGAAGAATGCAACAGAAAACGCTCACGATCAGGAAGACCCATTAAACAGCTATCTATGCCACGACTCATCACTTCCCTACGGGGTGCTCCATGTGGGCTGAAGATCACTTCCATAACAGGTGTCGTCCTGGGAAGAAGCCTCTGGTACCACATTGGAGAGGAACAAAGTCTCAGACAAATCCCACATTGCAGTGATTTAAATGACCTCATTCTTCCTCAAAATAAAGAATCAAAAGCATCACTTCCTAGCGACTGCTATGCACTCTTCCTTAATACCAAAGATACATAACACACACAGGCTCATCGTGCCTTACAAACACACAAACCCCGAGCACAGAGCCCTTCAAGCAAGGCTCGGGCCACAGCGGCTGCCTTACATCAACACTGAGGTGAGAAAAGCTCCGCCCAATGCCAGTTCCGAAGGTTCGAGCAACACTCACCAGTTAAGGTTGTTTTTACTCCTTTGTCTCGAAAAGACGCCACAAAAGAAGCAGGGGCTAAGCCTGGGCTTTGGAGGCAGGTGGACTTGAATGCCAACCCCAGCTCCATCATGCACTTCCTGTGGGAACGTAGGCAAGTTATTTCTCTTCTCTAGGCCTCAGTTTCCATGCCTGTGAATGGAGATACAGACATTTACCTCAGAAAGGAATGTGAACATACCACTCCTCTTACCCTTGATTCCTAACAGGGAATATGAGCAATGGGCAAGAATGAAACATTGTTTGAAATCTGGTTTTATTTATTCTATGTGCCTACCTTCTTTCTTTTTTTTTTTTTTTTTGAGACGGAGTCTTGCTCTGTCACCCAGGCTGGAGCGCAGTGGCGGCGATCTCAGCTCACTGCAAGCTCTGCCTCCCGGGTTCCCGCCATTCTCCCGCCTCAGTCTCCTGGGTAGCTGGGACTACAGGCGCCCGACACCACGCCCGGCTAATTTTTTTGTATTTTCAGTAGAGACGGGATTTCACCGTGTTAGCCAGGATGGTCTTGATCTCCTGACCTTGTGATCTGCCTGTCTCGGCCTCCCAAAGTGCTGGGATTACAGGCTTGAGCCACCGTGCCCGGCCGTGTCTACCTTCTATAATAGTTAAAAAAAAGATCATCAGTTAAATGATGAATGTGAGCACAGTTCTGGCAGAGGCATCACGGATGAGAAAACACTGACAGAATGAGAAGACTGAATGAAAAGAGACTGACAGAAGTCATTCATTTCTTTCACGTGCTCAATACTATCCCACTGAATAACACACACACATACACACGGCTGGATGGAGTTAGGGGACAATCTGTGATGCTTTATTGCCTGCCTGTGCTGTCTGAGAAAATCAAGGTAGGTTTAGTTAGGGCATGCGAATCCCAGGGAATATAACATCCAAGCCCTAGGCTGAAAACCGTTCAGTCTAAAGATATACCATGAAGGGACCCAGCCTCAAGGCCCCTTTCTCAAGTAGGAGAAAGTATATAGAAAGTAGAAAGAAGAAAAAAGAATAGGCTCACATGTTTCAGGAAAACATATAAGAACTACTAGGAAAAAGAAATTCATAAAGGTTTTTTGATTCATTTAACCTTATTAGTCGATGTCTATGATTTTAATGTTATTACTTGAATTATACTGTTCATTATTTCCCCCAATTTGTTTAAATCTGCAAATACCGTATGTTCAGCTTTACATCTATAAAGCAAGATCCTTAAGGGCAGGGATGGAGTTCTACTCCTGTGTCCCTTGACATTACAGCGTGTGGAACAGAGACGACAAATACAGGTTTGATTTGTGCCACCTGAAAGAATGCCATCTAGAGGCAGCTGCTTCAAACTGCACTTCAACTGGATCTACACGCCCTGCTAAGCAACTCAAACTCATCATGAAATAAAGCTGCAGAAGAAATGTGTACTCTCTATTCAAACTCCGGAGTAAATAAAATGTGTATGATTGACACAATCACAAAATGGCATTTAAGTGGAAGTCTGTTTCTTGAAGAAATAAAAGCCAGGACAAACAGATTTGGGGTCATATTCTTGTTCACTGAAAGAACCAAGCAGTTTCATCAAACAAGCATTAGAGGGAGAGAAATTGAGTAATTCATCTTGTCAGTTACAATTCACATATGTACACACACACACACACACACACACACACACTGGCTCAACATCAGTTAAACATAACTATTCAAATACAAAAGTATAAAAAACCTCTTTAAAAAACCAATAGCAGCCAAAACAGAACATTTGTAAACAAAACCACTACTATCAACCCCGTGCTTAATCACAGAATCTGCATTCTTTTGAAACATTAAGTATATGCAATAAAGAGAATATAGACCATCTTTTCCCTTAATATACAATACCAGATATCTAAAACAATGTCACCAATAATAGACACAAATCGATGTTATCATAAGGCATGTTGAACAGTCTTTTTCACAATACTCAGGGGCATCATGTTGCTGCAGAGGCCACGCTTTCCAGAAGTTTTCTCCTAGCTGTGATCCTCGCACACCGGGGGCACTCGGAGGACTGGAAGCACTGTTTGTGAAAGCAAGCCCTGCACGCTGCAAGCAAGGAAGACAGCCGTCAGCAAACAGGTTATCTTGTTTTCTCACATTTCTGCGGACATTCATCTCCATCCTAGGGAGGGAAGGGGTCTGAATCCAGAACCCAGAGTCTCTAAAAAGAAACCAGCCAGGCTGAAACTCACATTTCAGCAGGTCACGTTTCAGCAGACCTGTTGGACTCTTCCAACGGGTCATGAACAGGAGGCTCAGAGAGCCTGATGTAATGGACGCCGCAGCGCCCCCTGGATCTGCCCAAGCACCGAGGCAGGCGTTTCCCCAATTGCCGAGGGAGCTGGTGGCTGGTAACTGTTGGCAAGCCACATTGTTTCTCTAGAAACGGCCCTACATCGAGAAAGCTGCTTTGTCCAAGCTCATGCCCCGTGCCTGGCACCAGCCTGCATTCAGTGACTGATCACTATGTAGTGAGAAGGCTGGCCCCAATTTGTCCCCAGTTTGGAACAATGCTGAAAGGCCACCAAACTCCAGAGCTGCCCGTGAGATGAGCTGAGGGCTCCACTGCAACCTCACCACTGTTCAACTTCTCCCTCTCCCAGTCTTGCTGCCTGCATGCCGCCACAGGTATTAAGTTGAGGAACATGAAACTTTTTCTGGCAAATCTCTGCCCCAGAGTCTCCTTGCTAGGGAGCCAGTCCTGCAACACTGCCCAAAGGGTTGGGGAGACAACACTGGAGTGGCCTGAGAGGAGGATGTGCCCCTATCAAGGGTGAAGGTAGAGTGCATTACCAGGATCTCTCCCATGAAACAGAGTTTACAGAACACGGGATTCTCTCGGGCACTAATACCGTAGAAGGGTCGGCAACCTTTTCTGTAAAGAGCCAGATAGCAAATGTTTTAGACCTTGTGGGCCATGTGGTCCCTACAATAGCTACTCAGCTCTGCCTCTGTGGTGCAAAAGCAGTCAGAGACGTCACCACTGGGCATGACTGATCCAATGACAAGACGGAGAGGTGGGCATAGGCAACAAAGGGACCATCTCCTCTATCCAAACCCTGCACTAGAAAGACATCATCCTTTATCCCTGCCCCACCCAAATACTCCTCCTTCTGTGCCCAAAACTTCATTATCTCCAATCCAACACACAAGCACACACCAGCATGACTGTACTTCAAATAACTGTGCTTGAATTATTAAGCTATTATTCAGCTTAAGTTAATTTTGTGCTTCAGTTACTAAACTTACTTGAGTTAATTAGTTAAGCTATTATTAAGCTTATGCTATTAAGTTATTAAGATACCTGAACATCTTCTACATGTTGCTGTCTGAAATGGGAAGATGACAGTCGTATTCCGGCAAAATTCACAAATAAAGCCCTTTCCTTGACACAGCTGTAAAAGAAGACATCAAAAAGTTACAACCTTCTCTTGATGGAGAAGCTGAGTTTTCACTATTACAGAACTTTATAAACATTAGTGTTTGAATGTCTATGATGCCAGCCTCTAGAAAGAAAAGGATGTTGTGTTTTGCAGCAACGAATGGATCAGAATCAAAAAAAAAAAGAAAAAAATACACGTTCATCCAATTCCACATCAAAGCAGTTTTAAAGTACCAGAGTAAGGGCCTAATTATAAACATGCTCTCTGCGACGATCTAATTTCATTTCTCATTGCTGCCCTACAGTTCTTCAATCCTTGGAGACACAGAGCTTCCCGTTCCATTGAATCCTGGTTCCACATGACTGTATTTGGTGCTTCAGGGCAGAGTGGGCCCTGAGCAGAACTGGGCACCCAGATGAAGTCCCTTGGTCCAGGCTTGCATCCTGGCTCTGCCACCTACCAGCAGGGCGATCTCAGCTGCTACTTCACGGCTCTGACCTCAGTTTTCTCATCTCTAACTAGGTCACTGGCACTTCCCTCAGGGTTTGTGAGAGTGAAATGAAGGGCGGAACACCCAGCACATGCCCTGTGCGTCAGGAACGCATCTGCTCCGGGTGCACCCTCACCTCGCAGCCGGCCACGTGCGCAAGGGAAGCTTTCAGAATGTCCTTGAGTAAGGGTGCCAGCAGCCCTTTCTTGATCCTGACCAGGTCCTCAAGGGAGAACAGGTGGAGCTCATCAGTCAAGTGTGCCGGCACCTGCTCAAACTCCTTTAATGCACTGCCAGAGAGGAAACAAAGAGGAATTCAGAAACCCACCCACACAGAGGCCGGGGAAGAATGGGGCCAGTTGTTTTCTCTTGGCACTCACGCTTAATTTTTTTAACTCAATTTAAAAAACAAATAGCTCCAAGAACAACAGTGAGCCATGCTCGCCAGCATTCTACATTTTGCAAGTTTGCTTGGAAGCCAGGAAGTTAAAATTCCATGAAAGCTGATTTCAAGAAGCTAAGCAGAGACACACATCTCTTACAGCCTGCCCAGGCACACATGGAGCAAAAGAAAACTGAGCATTAGTTTGTTAAGTCTTAAAGAAGGTGTACCTAGTACCCTTTGATTACCAAGTAATCAAAATTCCCACCTTATTTCTTCCAGCTACATTTCAAGTCTATCAGCCTTATGGTCTATCGGCTCAGCTGGGAGAATTCTCACTCACCCGGCAAGCCTGACTTCCAATGCACGAGTCAGGCACTGAGCTTAAGGCTCACGCAGCCAACGGCCAGTGGTCATGGTGCCTAGGGCATTCAAAACTTAATCTTCTCCAAAGCCAGCAGGTGTCCACCTGAATTCTCTAAATGGCTAGTAGAAGCACTATTCCCTGCACTTCCAAAACAGCCACGGCCTACACTGGACTTGGCATGCTACAATGCCAAATTCTCTTCAAGTCTCCACCCAGCCTGCGGTGCCCACTCCTGCGGCATCCTCTGCCTGGAGAATCCCCAATCCCTCTTCTTTGCTCCACCTTACTCTTAAGCTCAGCCTTTTTCTCCTGGAATCCTTGCTTGCTCTCTACCCCACCTCACTCCTGAGCTAAATGCTGCCTCTGTTTGTATCCTCACGGTGCGCTGACACATGTCTAGCACTCAGTCCAGCAATGATTGGTTTGTGCTGACCATCCCCCGGACTTAACACAGATCTACTAACTTTTTTTATCTGAAGTCCAGAATGGATATTCAATAATTTTGCACAAGGCAGGAAGTATAGGTATTGTTACATGTTGTGGATGAAAGAACTGAGGCCCTGAGACCAATGCCATGCCAAGGCCATGAAGCAAAGGCTCAAAACTAAATGACTATAGAACACATGCTCCTGGCCGGGCGCAGTGGCTCCAGCCTGTAATCCCAGCACTTTGGGAGGCTGAGACAGGCGGATCACAAGGTCAGGAGATCGAGACCATCCTGGCTAACATGGTGAAACCCCGTCTCTATTAAAAAATACAAAAAAAAAAAACTA